ATAAATAAAGGCAAATAGAAGTTTATCACTTAATTTCCATGTCTCAGTTGTATTATAATGTCTGTTTCAGGGGGAATATCAGCCTACAACGCAGGTGTGAGTACCGTGAGTTCATATAAGAATATCGATGCCAGAACCACAGGACAAGACTACTCCAATGATGTTGTTGCCAGAGCCCAGTATTTCAAAAGCAAGGGTTACTAAAGAACACCAGTTATGAAGCTGTAAAACCCTTAAATTAGTATAATGAGTACAACAACTCAAGATTATAAGTCTTCATTTTTAATATTAGACCTTTTGTAGTGATATTCTTAGTTAAATATAGATATTAGATTGCTAATATAATCTTTCCAAACCATTTAAGAGTTTGCGCTTTCAAAATATGACCATATTAATGATACTACAGAGCTGCAGTGAATTTCCTGTAATGATAGTAATGAAGATCTTATTAAATAAAATTCATTTATTTACTCAAATCATGTGTGTATTATTTATCACAATGATCTTAGGAACAGTCCTTCCAAATTCACAATAAAATAACCTAATTTATTACCGGTACTCTTGAAAGTAGCCATGTGGTTGCAAACACAACTTGAAACAACTTGTTGTTCTCCACGACAGAGGGCGATGTTGAGCCTAATCCTGCACTCACACATGACACTGTAGAACAATGTTTCTCTGAGAACATTGCATTTAGGGAACATTGGGGGGCGCTGGAAGCAATGTTGTGCTGCAACCTCTCTTTCGCAATGTGAGCACTTCCACCAGTGTCAGAATGGGTGGTGAACATGATCAGGAGCGCTTATACACTGCACGCAGACTGCCCCACTTGCCAGATCGGGACACACCCATATTGCAAGTAGAGATCCACTCCTCCACTCTAGGCATACTAGAAACTTCTAGGCAGGCGTGTTGAGGCAAGTTGGAGCTAAACTCTGGAGGACACCGGCCCTCCAGGACCGAGTTTGGGGACCTCTGTGCTAGACGTTTTGAAGTGTCAAAGGAAGAACAGCATGCTTTATCCCACACAGAGCATCGAATTCTTGGGTATGACCCTAGACTCGTGAGCAATGCAAGCTCATTTTGCCCACTGTTCTTCTAACGAGTGTACCCCCTGGAAGGGGATGAGCTATCAAGGTACTGGCCAAAAAAGCACAAATATGCGTTTCCCCCAGTCAAGATCATGCTGTTGGTGCTGCACAAGATCAGGAGACTGTACTTCTGGTTGCAGTAGTGATTTCCGGAGACAGAACTCCTTACAGCTCCCTTGTGGCACATTCCCTTACAACGGGACCTGTTGTCTCATGCAATGGGCACTATATGGCACCGCAAGTTAGCACTATGGGCATATGCTGAAAGTGCAACAAGTCAAAGTCAAGTCAAAGTCTGCTTTATTGTCAATTCTGCCACATGTACAGCACATACATACAGATAAATTAAATTGCGTTACTTTCAGACCCTTGGTGCATACAGATAACACTAAACACTAGCAGTAGAATGTAAAAAATACAGATTAAATATACAGTATATATAATACAAACTATACAAATACAAATAAGGACATTGTAAAAAAAAAAAGATAGATAAAGTGGCACAAGGCACATGGCAGATAGAGTGCAAACCAGTGAGATAAACAACAGTGCAGATATAATGAGTGTAGTGCAAAAAGAGCTTATCAGTCTGTTTAAAGTGACAAAGAGCTCAGAGAGTAGTCTTTATTTAAACTGTCAGAAGAGGTAGTTTGCAGTCCAATGCTGAATGCTTTGCTGAATATTTTCCACATACTGTACATTATTGTTTCTCCTCTATGCCCCGCCTTTCTGAAACGCATCGATTTTTACAAAGCTCATCAGTCTGAAAAGCGAGGTGTGCTCTGATTGGCCAGTTATCCAGTGCGTTGTGATTGGCCGGATACTTCAAGCGTGTGACGGAAATATTACGCCCCTTACCATACTGTGATGATGCCCTGTCAGGCCGGAGAGATGATTCAAAAACATGAAAACCCATTATAAACGAGGCATT